CAAAACTCAAATCGTGGAAACAACCGCCAATGGGTTATATCAGGAACAAATGAAAACGAACACAAATGCAAACACATCCAACACCGTCCGGGACAAATCACTTTCCGAGGAGACTTCAAATCCACACGTAGCACAAGAATCATGATTGCACAAAAATGCTCGACTCCACAATAATACCTCATCCTCATAACAACACGAAGACCATTAATACAAAAAAACCCTTTCGAGTATTTTCTATCGGCCAATCTTGAATTCAATGTCCAACAAACACGATGAAATTACAAACCAGAATACCTCAGCAACATGGGAGCAACACCAAACCTGCCTCAGAAACAAAATCTCCTTGAAACATGTGACATCGCTACGTGCCCTGCCTGCGTGGTTGACAGCGCGAGGTACATTGGAGTCATGGAGTGCTACAAAGATAGGCCCCCCTTCTTCTTTCATTATTTTTCCTCAAACACAAACAAACCTCCGTTCGTTCAGTTTCCTACAATACCTTTTATTTTCTTCCTGCATACCCTACCCATGCATGTCTGGCTGCGGCCCCCCTTCTCCGAACACCAGACGTGAAGGGATCAACCCTCTACTTGATAAACGCATCTTGTGACATTTGGGTACTGGAAACAACCCCAAAATCGCAACCTGCATTGTCAAATCCCGAACTCTGCAAATCGAACATCGAAAACAGACGAAACATTCCATTCTTCGTAACATTGCTGTAGTTAATTGTCATGACACACCAATTCCCCCCCCAATGACAATTGACAACAGCATCGAAGACATAGCATTTTATATAAATAGAGGGGTTACCCCTGGCCGATGGTACATGGAGAGGCGCGCCAAACACACAGGGGACAACAACAATGTAGATAGAGCCTTCTACCTAAAAAAAAATGCCACACGCAGAAGGAAAAAACAAAAACAACAAGCACAACCATAGTAGCGGCCTTCGCGACATGGCCGCAAGGATTCAAACCAATAACCCTATTCCATCATCATGATCCTTTCTGAACAGTTTCAACGCAGCCTTCATGCCGTCAAATATTCTTGCAGGTGCAATTTCAATCGCAAAATCAAATCCGAAAGAACGCCGAAACAAGCCAAAACCAAAAACCAACCAAAAAAACAATTCCGGATCCACAAACCCGCATACATCTGTCACTAAACCGCCGTTGCCCGTGGTTTCCATCCCCGCTGGGCGATGCATCCTTCTCTGGAAATTATCTCAAACCGTCAACAGCACAGAACCATTCTCAGACAAATACCAAACAAGCGGCAGCGCTGCATCAGAAAAACATCGGAATGGGGACGGACAATTCTGAGGAAAACAGCTTCAAAGAGTAGGCACAAAAACTCAAACGAAACAATGTTACAATTTCTTGGACGACAGAAACGAGTATTCGGAAAGCACATAGGCCCTAACAATCACTCCTGCCAACTCCTTGCTCCAGTATAGTCGTTGAGCACCAAACTAAACAGTGCGCACACGCAAATCGGTGCCGCCGTTGCTGTCCACGAAACGGATAGAAAACTAAACAAACATATAGACAGCCCCCCGCTGTCACATCCCGAAACATACCCCTTACATTTCCAGAGTTCATGCAAGAACACTCCGCGAATATCAAAATGCCAACTAACAAACATGGAGACAGCCCCCCTGCAAAGGTAGCTGTTCATATGGGGAAACAAAAACAAATCGATTGCTGTTCATGCCCTCTAGAATCATGGTCACACATGACATCCCCCCCCCCATGATTCTGGATGTACATAAAAACAGCAACAAAGAAGAAAAAACCAGTGCAAAAGTAAAACGCGCTGCCAGAAAGAAAGGCAAAAAAAACTAAACTAAACACGAAACCCACATTGTTAGATCAGACTCGATGTCGTCGCGCGATGCAAGGCGCGTCACGAGCCCAAACGGAGTGCCCCGCTCGGAGGGGCGACCCCCAGCAGGTTGTTCTTGATCTCCCACATGCACCCCTCCCAAACATCCTGTTCTCCACCGCCCTCCATCTCGTCGCCCCCCAGCTCGCCTTCCCCCAGCTCACCGGTCCGTATCATCCCAGGCCAAATCATCGGCTTGCCGTTCAATACGCGCCGTCGGAGATGGATGTGGTCCATCGGCCTCGAAGGTCGGCACCGATTTGCGTGTCGGCAACGGCGCGGCGGTAGTAACAGCGGCGGGCAGCGGAGCGGCGGTAGTCCTCGTCGCAGTCATCCGCGGGTCCGGCAGCGCGGCGACATCCGGCGAGGATGCAGGCGGCACGGGTGCCCCGGGACTTGGCGGCAGCGGCGGTGGTGCGGCGGCGGCGGCGGCGGCGGCGGCTACAGGCCAAGGCGCAGCGGTGGCAGCGGGCTGCGAAGCGGCGATGGCCCCGGGTCCCAACTCCCTGGGGAGGGTGTTCCCTTGTTGCTTGGCAGTCAAACTCAAAACGGGTTGGGGAAAGTAGCCAGCGCGGTGGTGGAAACCGTCAACATCCATTTGTTCGGCACGACCCAACACAGCCACATCACACTTAGACGCAACACCTTCCCTCGCATCAAACATCCCCGCACTCGTCCCCGAGTCTCCCTGCAACTGCTCACCACCTTTGGGTGTTGACATCCTAGTGTGCCATACCGGGGCTTGAAAGGTCACAGCAGGCTTCACCACAGGAACCACAGGAACATCAGGCACAGACATACCAGCAACGGGAACACCAGACACCTCCCCATCACTAACAACTCTAATCTCATTTCCAGACACAGAATCAGACTCGCCTAGAGAATTCACACTACGTGTGAGGAAGAGACGAAGAGGGGCGCCACTTGCTGGAGGAGTGTCGCCCGGAGGTGGAGAGGGGGTCGCCGTCGAGGAGGCAGAGGTCGTTGGATTAGCGCCGATGTACTGCTGCTGCTGCTGCTGCTGCTGCTGCTGCTGCTGCTGCTGCTGCTGAGTCGCCGGCTGAGTAGCGGTGCTAAAGGCCTCGTTGAAGACTCGCTGCTCATCAGCGTCGGGCCCTGCAGAACGGGGACAGAACGGGCGGCCCCGACCCCAGCTTGCCCCTTGGTCGAGTTGGTGCAGCTGCTCTCGATATGATCCGCCCGACAAGCGCCCCGATTCTTGCCCCCCGGCCTGAGGAAAACCTGGTCCCCGCATACCGTCCCTCTCGCGAATGAACGCCATGAAGTCGTTGTAGTGGAACAAGAAGTCCTTGCGAAGTTTATGGCAGTCTGGGGTGTTGTGGGAGGAGTTCGCTCCGTGAACCTGGCAGAAGAAGGCACCTCTCTGCTCATGAGATGGTCCGCCATCCGCTCCCGCAGCAGCTGCTCTCCTCATGCCGCCGTCCCGGCCTGCGCCGGCAGCGACGGGCGCATGCCTCGTGTCCTCGATCCCCTCCCCACACCTCCGTTTGATCCTCTGCTCGTGCTCGACCAGCCTCAGCGTCTCTTCCAGAGTACCTCTCGAAAGCATGGGGTGGAACAGAATACGGTCTTTGACATCGTCGTACATTGGGAGCAAGCCACGTGCAAAGTGTCTCGACATTAACGTCTCCTCTCGATTGTCCCCACAAGACTGTAATTGCATCCACACAGTATTCGCCCTTCCCCAGTAGTCGACCAGAGTCTCTCCATGCTTCTGTCTAAGGCAGTTCCAAGTGCCGTCCAGGATTTCTCTCTCATGCGTCCTGTTTGTAGTGTAGTAGGACTGAAACACTCTCCACCCTGCTTGTGGACTCTCTGAAGCTAGTATCTGGTCTAGTATAGGTTGAACGTTGATTTTCGTGATCAAGCACATCCAGACTCTCGTGGCCTTTCGAACACTTTCATCGCCATACCTCTGCCGCAACCAAGTCTTATCGACGTGCAACGAACCCACAGGAATCTCTTCTCCTCTCATGATCTCTTCAAGACCCTCTGCATCCATCCACCCTGAGAAACAACTCGTAAAAATTCGGAACGCGACAGTCACACTTCGATCCTTCAAGAAAGCATCATTCCACTCAGGTACTTCGACTCTCTCTCTCAGCTTCAACTCTATGGGCTGGGAACTAGACGTGCCTGAGCGGACGTCATGTCCCGGAGTCTGGGAGGCGAAGTTGGCAACCCGGCGGAGGAGGTCGACAAGGGCGATAGTTGGATCTTGTTCCCCTCCATCCGCGGCTGCTTTCGTTCCTCCCTGCTGGTCCACATCGTGGGAGGTTCAACGAACCTCGTCCTTCCCCCCCGTTGTCTTCCCCGTGGGGAGAGGAACTAGTCCCTGGTCCCCGCGGAGGTCTTCGTCCATCTCCTCCAGCCGTCTTATTCGCGCAGACACAGCAGCCACTTTCTTGATCTATTACGCTAGCGTGTTGGGTGGCTTGGTGCGCCCGGCGCAGTTGTAGACGGCAAAAATAAAAGAACCGCGCGGCGAGTTTGCCGGCAACGATAAAATACAGTAAACTGCCCACGGGTGTGGTAACCCGCCGCATCTATGATGTTCCGGAGCGTGATAGCTCTGATGTGTTGACGCTGGTGCTGTGATAGCTGTTGTGATGGCGTGATAGCCTAGAGGCGTGAAAGCCTGGCAGCGTGATAGATGGTGGATAGGTAGTATGGGCACGGGCGTGATAGCCCAGGGCGTGATAGCCGGGAAAAAGGAAGATGAATAAATCAAGGGCACGTGGCCAACACCGTTGCTGACACGCATACCCAGAAAACAATAATATGTGGCAAAGATGGTACCACCATTTCCCCCAATTTATTACAACTGCGGAACCCCCAAAATCCCCCGCTCCATCTTCTAGGAACATTCCTCGGTTGCAATAATCTGTCAATGCTGTGAGTACATCCAACACGGCGGATGTTCGTATTTAGCCGGTAGTTCACGGGTTATTTTCTTACCGTAAAAACTGTAGGACAGAGAGCCAAAAAAGTTGAAAGTTGAAAAGACCGCAAGACGCCAAGTAGCAAGTAGCAAGTAGCAGAGGCGACCACAACGACCCGGAAAAATTTCACCCCCTCACATCAGCTGCAAGGTTTTCGTGACCAGTCCTAAAAGCACCAGGCAAGGCGGACTGCGACGGCGCAGTAGCTGTTACCTTGCTAAGCAACGAGGGGAGGAGAGATAACAAACGTGGCGACCTTTTCTGCACGGCAAAGCACACAGCAAGTCGCGAATAAACACATGATGATCATGGCGGCGCTGAGACCACCACTACACCAGAGAGCTGCTGCTGCTGCTGCTCCCGTTGCGAGGTGGTCCACGTGGCCTCTTCTTGCCTTGGTCCTCGTAGCAGCATCGGTGGCGGAAGCGGGAGTGCTGGTCGGTAGCGCCCAAGCCGGCGGCGCTGACCTGGCCGGCTACAGCACCAGCACCTGGGACTCGTCGCCGTTCAATCTTGGCAGCATCACGGATAACAATCTCGGCGTGCTGGCCAAGTCTTGCTCAGACAAGTTCTGCCGGGCGGGAGTCGACGGCCTCGACCTTTGGGTTTCCTTCGAGGAGGTAAGCAAGAACAGATGGCCGGCACAGCAGCAGCAGAGGGCGGAGAGAGGCGATCCCTCCTTCAGAGTGGGGCTCGCCCTCGCTTTGGGAGTCGCACGCAAGAGCGGCAACAATGTTCCGTTCCCAGTTTTTTCTCCGTGTGTGGTTTTGTTCGGCTGGAGCAGCATCATCGGGGATGATTGGGCCATATAGTACAATACATGTAGTCTCCATATATCTTCTACTAGACACATCTCCATGCCATTGAATGCAGGCGTAACATGTGCACAGCAAAACAGCAAACGTACGTACCGTAAAGGTTGCGAGTCAACGCACAGGGGTGCGAACGATTTTCAAAGCGTAATGTCTCCACAATCAGGAGGTTACCACTGTCGAATAGGGCGGTTTTGGAAATAGACTATGTCATCGAGAGCTTTCCTGACAAGTATCAGTTGGCGGTCGCACCCTCCCGGTTGTGGAGAAATTACGCTTTGCAAGTCGATCGCTCCCCCCTCTGGGCTGACTCGCATCCTCACGGTATTCTGCCTCCAGTTTTACTAGAGATCGATTGCCTCACGACCATCAGCTCTCGACAACTGCTGTAGAAGAATTGGATGCCTTACCACACCGCCTTTCGGCCTTCGGCAGCCTCTTCGGTTTCGGAGCTATCGAGCTTCGGCTTTACATTGCACACCTGTGCACGTGTTCGCCCCCACCCCATACGTTGCGTAAGATAACACGCCCCCTGGGCCGCTGGATCGATTGCTCCGCAGCCTGCTGGAGAGGACTGCCAACGCTATTCGTCAGCAGAGTACGCATTCGCATGCATACCACCTTGCTGTGATTTCCGCGCGTGTGTCTGGCCGGCGGTAGATACTGTACCGTTAGAGCACGCTCTCTCCGGGCACTTAAATGTCCTTCTCTCGCGGACACGTGATATCTTTCTCTCGGGCACTCAATGTCTCCCTCCGGGCCCCAGCAACGTTACGTCACTCTCTCTCGCCATCGTTCCGTGGTCGGAAACGGATCACGCTCGGTGGGTGAGTACAGGATGTTTCCCTCTTTTTAGTGCCGGTATGTGCCCAGACGTTAGACCGGCACTACTGTAAACCGGCCAACGCCACTACTCAGAAGAGTAGCTGAAATAGTGCTTCAAGCCGGCACTCTCTTCAGAGTCTCAGAATCCCTCAACAGCAGTGCCGGCTTGGTACATTCAACTATTGACGAGTGTCACTCGATCCCAGAGTGCAGCGCTTACGTTTGGGGGGGGCTGACAGAACGCTCAACGAACGGTATCCGGATCAAATGAGTGGTGAGGTGGGCGACGTGGGCGGGCTCCCTCATGTTTCGTGCACGTTTAGTGAGGCTCCTAGCCTGTCGATAAAGCATGCGCGTTAAATAGTCACATCAAGCTAACGTGACACAGAGACTGTTTGTTGCGGTCATTGTTTTCTTCCCACCTCAGCACCAAGTTAGTGAAACGTTAGTATCCGCTGCCTTCTAACCGTAGACCGTGCTGCCCGTTCAAAGGGCACCTCGCTAATATTCGGTGTAGCACTATCCAGGCAACCTCAAAGGCACCCCTCGACAGCGAAAGAAGGACGCTCATGCACGCACCCGATGTACAGGAAGTTGAAGGACGACATGGACGTAGAGCCTCCTTAGGCCGGTTCCAATCAACGGGGTGATTTCCCTGATTGAAAACACGGAACGGCGAAAAGAAAGCCGGCCCTCTTTTCCGGTTGTTCCATGTAATCATGATGCCATCGCGAAAATACGGTTTCTGCGCTCAATACACGCTTTGGTCGACATATGGCAGGCTGACTGGGTTTTGCTCACCATAGAGTAGCGGCAGAAGCACAAAGCGCAGCACCCGACACAAAGGACAGCACACTTGGAAAGACCCCGTCCACCCGGCCTGCTGTTTTCAGCAACAGGCGCAGCGCGGAGTGTCGCAACCTGGGTGTTGCTTTCAATTTGTTCAGTTATCCGCCTCACTAATAGTCGCCGTTGCGACTCCCGACTTCGACCCAGCACCTGTCGAAAGGTAGACGAGCTCAACCCGTCATAGGGCGGCAGCGGCGCTGAGGGCCAGCATCATACACATGACCAATGCGAAAGAGTTAAGCGTGTCGGAGGCCCTGTTGTTCTAGTGCTGCATGGTGCCGTGGATTTGTGTTCATGTCTCCGACCAAAAGCAGGCCATCTCACCGCATACCGTATATGACACAAGATAACACACCCCCTTGGCCGATTTTCAAAGCTCGATTTCTCAACAGCAGGAAGAGTCACAGCGCCGAAAACGGCGGCGTTGGAACCGTCTCGTCGAGAGCTGTTCGAAAACGTATTGTTTCATTTATGCATCCTCTTCGTCGTGGAGTTTTTTTTTTTTTTTATTGTTCTTCACTTCAAATCAGCGCTCACAGCACTACTAGTGCCGTTTTACTCCAACCCGTGGTCACACAGAAGAGCCCCTCTCTACCCTCCCTTCCTGCGGTACTTCGCCTTCAATTTTTAATGCGAGAAGAGTTCAGCACTCTCTTCCCTCTGTGTACACACGAACTAGCGCTATCCACTTGGCCAGGAGCGGAAGCGAGAGAAAAACTCACTTTGCAAGAAAAGCTCGCCTACGCCGGGATTCGAACCCCTGACCTGACCTCTAGAAGGTTTCGAGGCTACCAACTAGACCACCGGGGCGACCGGAGTAATCGAGCTTTGAAAATCGGTCCAGGGGGTGTGTTATCTTGTGTGATATACGGTATTAACAAACGGCGGTTTGCCCGAGGTGGCACACATCCTTCACACACCTTCTTGAGCAGCACCCAAGCCCCCAACACCCACGAAGCAGCACAGCGCCGGGAGTGAGCACATGTATCACATGGACAGCCGAGCCGAAGGAATCAGCGCGTTGGAGACCTTGGCGCTGCTGTTGTGTTCGTTCTACTGCTGTTTCCGTGTTTTGTCATGTGTGATGGAGAAAATATCCCCAACACCAAGAGCACCAGTCGAAGACGAGAGGGCCATGCAATGTCTCAGTTTGGAGAACGCGCTGAACCCGGATTCTGCCGCTGGAAAATGTCCGCAATATGTAGACCTGGACGTGAGTCTGGCAGGCTTTGCTAGCGTTGTAAGTGATGTTGCGGCGCCAGCGGTGCGGCTGCCCGATCCTTCTGCCAACAAACCGGATCGGTGAAGGGAGGACGCGTTTTTTTTTCGCCCTTGTTCCTTTCCCCGATCCGGTTCTCTTCATAAGTAAAAACTGCCTCCGTATTCTATATCTGCACGCAAGAAACGATTCGGGGAAGTTTTCCGGGAAATATTTCCTGATTGGAATAGCGCTTACATACAAAAACCCAAAGGAGTGACGAATACAGCAACCCTTCAGACGCAAGAAAAACGACCGCTAAGAAAAGTGCCATGACCCCGTTGTAGCTATTATGCTGATCTACGCTTTTGCCCGCTGCGTAGGGCTGGTTTGCCGGGGTCTTGAGCAGCAGCACGTGCACTGCTATCGGTTGTGTGAGGCGTGTGTACGGCAACAATCTATGTCTCTCTGTTTGTGCCTTAGTCTTTCACCATCGACCGCGCTGCTATCCGGCTGACCAAGGAAAATACATCAATCTCAAAGCGGTTTGAAACAGAACATGAAACGTTTCTCAAGCCATGATCTGGGACCCCGTGGGGGTACCATGCGGGAGGCTAAGCTATTTACCGGGTTAAACATAGAAACGGTAGCAACAGAAGACTTGACGTTTGTACCAGATGCTACCGCTTTGCACACACGTTTCGAGTGCTTTCATCGTTTTCCTTGTACTTTCCACGCTTACTCTCTTCACTATCGTTTCCACTTTCGGTTGTCGATCTCTAGTCCTGCGGCGTTTTGTCGTGAGGAAGGTCATCTGGCTCGAAACTCGTGCTCTCTTCAATGCCATAATTTCTATTTTCCTCCTCCATCATCCTGCTCTACTGAAATCAATCCCAACCTGTTGGCTGATGGGCTGTGGTGGGATTCGGATACCAGTAAACCATGAAGTTTCAACATGTCACGAGGTCGTACGGACAGAAAACGAGCCAGCTCGAAGTTAACCCGTCTCCGAACCCTGTTGTTGTGGCAGACCTTCAGGCAAAGAAAGGCTGTGTGTGTGATCTGAAGCGGCACTATTGACGGGTACGATAGTACGATGGTAGTGCCTGAACCGGCACTATAGTGGGCAGCCCTCAATAGTGCCGGTTTGGCACTGTGGAGGCCTTTCTCTGTGTCAAGAAAGATTACCGGCACCATGTCGAGACCTGCTGTATGTAGAATTGTCGTGTTCTTCCCGCGTACAATGTGCACATGGATGTGGAGTCATCGGTGTTGTTGGAATGTAGAGGTATTGTTTTGCTTTCGCACACATCCGGTTGTTGGGTCTTCGCTTCTACACCAGTTGCGCCAAACAAAAATGTTGCACGCCCTTTCCCGCGTTTGTCGTATGATATGGACGGTTTTTGGCCCTTTCCTGCTAGACCATGATGCGAGCTTCCATACGACGACCTTGCAATTAACAGGCAACTCAACAACACCACGCTGCTGCTGGTTGTCAAATCGCAGGTTTGTACGGTGATGCCTCAGCCGTACTTCGCGGCCAGACTCGGGGACGAGAGCGGCGCGACCGCCGGCCTCCCCGCCTCCGGCTCGGACGGTTATTGGCACCCCGTAATTGTCGGTGCTCTGTGCGCCGCCATCGGAGTCGCCGGCGTGATCGGAGGGTTCTCGCTCGGAACGAGGTCCAGCTCCAGCGCGTATTGCAAGAGCGTTTACTAGTCTTTAGCTGCAAGCGTTATCTGTGTTGGTGGGGGGGGAGGGGGGGGGGGGGGTGACGGTGTTGAGGCGGGCTCCTCTGGGGGGCGGTGCGGGCCCCCCCCCCCCTTCCGGGGGCCGCACCCGCCCCGGCCCTT